GCATATTGTAGGGGATGATGAATAAATGGGGGAGATAGTTATCAGTTTTTACAAAAGAAAAATTTGTTATGTTATTGTGGAGAAACCAGTAGATGCCACCTTAACCAAGTGATTAAAGTTAACATAATGAATGATAAGCGCTATAAACATCATATACCCTCAGATGTCATGCACACCATTTCTGTGTGTGGGTTTCTTTTCTTTTTTCTTTTCTTTTCTTTTTTTTTGCCAAAACCACATGATCTCAGTCTAATCAGGAGAAAACATTCAACAAGCACAAAGTGAGATATATTTTACAGAATAATTGACCAGTACTCATCCAAAGTGTCACGTTCATGAAAGACAAGGAAAGACTGAGAAAGTGTCACAGGTTGGAGGAGACTAAGGAGGTATGAGGAATAAATGCCGTGTGGGATCCTAGATTTGATCCTAGAACAGAAAAATAACATTAGGAAGAAAATTGGTGACATTCAAATAAGGTCTCTAATTTACTTAAGTATCTTGTACCAGTGATAATTTCCTGTTTTTGATAACTGTGTTGTGCATGGCATGTAAGTTGTTTACCTTAGGGGAATCTGTATACAGATAGGGATAACAAGTATACAGAAGTTTCCTGTACTATTTTTGTAATTTTTCTATAACCCTAAAATTATTAATATTTCAAAATAAAACATTTAAAATGCAAGGCTGAACTATCAATATATATTTGTTTGGGTACCATTAGGTTGCTGCAGAAGTAATTGTGGTTTTTGCCATTACCTTCATGGCAAAAAAAAAAAAAAAAATTACTTCTGCACCAACCTATAATTGTAATTCTATTTTCCTTTCAAAAGAGGTTTTTGAAATGTCCAAAATAGCATTGACTTTTACCAGTCAAAGATACTTCCTTTTAAAGATTAGCATCACAGAAAATAGAGATCCTTAAGTAAAATGTTATTTTCCTTGACTCTCAGGATGACAGGTGCTGCTTATGTATCTTTATAGTGCACTCAGACCTCTCTGATGGAGCTGATAAATGGTGCTAAGTCTTGCATAATCCAGTGACCCCTGGGATTGCGTTGCTAGGTGTCTAGTTTCTGTTAAACTTTCCCTTAGCAAATAGGGATGAGTAAGTATTCAGTCAAAAACAGTCAAATTTTAAACTAATGAAAACTGCTGTGACTAGCGGTGCTATTACAGAATATACTGGTAACTTGGGCCAGTTTGACCTGCAAGAATAGATTCATATCCATATGCTTATACAACAGGTTTCACTTGTCACAATATTATTTTTCTTGTGATCATATGTGATATCTGAAGACATGGCATGTGACTGCTTTATGTGCATTTCTCACCCAGTTCCCATTTTTTTAGGAATGTATATAGGTTAGCTTGACTATCCTCTAACTATGCCTGCTGCTATGGCCTTTACCAGGAAATTATTGGCACAAAACTATCCAAAGTAGTAAGAGGTATGAACAGATGTGATGGGTGTTGATCTGTCATAATGAAATAATGACAACATTTATACCCTTCATGCATAAAAAGTTACTGATAAAACATTGCTTCAAGTATAGAGGGAAAGGTTCAAGACATCATGATATTGCTGAAGCAGAATAGCTTGGCTATAAAAGTAATCACAAAGATTGATTTAGTTTTTAAAACGATGATCCTTCATTAAATCCAAGGAGCATTCACTAAAAATACCAACCTAGGTCAATGACAAACTGTAATATCAAGAAATTGCCATAGCATGGATTAAGTGATACTTTGAAGAGAACTTTGGAAACAGATTATTGCCCACAAGGCAACTGAGTCAAAAGCAGCTGCATATCCACATGATATGAGACCATTCTATGTATCTAGAAATTAATCCATGGACTACACTAGATTTCCATTTGAAGATTGTGCTGCCTTCATCACTGAGCATTCAACATTCATGGATTGATGGGCACAGCACTTCAGCACAATACACAACCAGCCATCCAATTTGCCCTTCTTATTTTCATAACATTCCCTCATTGTGACGTGAGTATAGAACATTGTATCTGTTGTACCTGTTATTAAGGCAGTAACCATCATCTGGTAGAGTAGCTAGTACTAATAGAATTCTTACACAACAAGAACAACAAAACAAAACAAAAACAAAAGCAGCAACCCAAAACGCACGGAAAGATTGTTTCAGTTATTTAATCACTCATGAGAGAAGAAATAGTACACAGGCGAATTTCAACAGTGTTTCAATTATACGAACTCAAGAGAAGTAGGAAATGCTGCAGCAACCACTGAGGTATGTTATTTGCGTATCACAGATATGACACTAGTACAATGCACATAGGTCAATTACCCTCAATTTAACTTTCATGCATGTCATGGATAAGAACTACAAAGCTCTTGTGCATACATGGAACTCTGATTAATGTGCTATCTGGTGAATTAAATAATTGTTTGAAAAGCTTTATATATGTGAAATATTAAGGTTTTCACTAAAATATGAGAATGTAAGGATTATGTAAATCATCTTTACCTGTGTGACTGGTCATCAGGGTAGTAACATGATGCAAACATACTTTAAAAACACTGGCTACAGTGAGTAGACAACTTATTTAAATAATTAAGTGAATTATTAATATTCATTGGCTATTATATATTTTGTCTCTAAATTAAACACTTTCCAAGCTTTAAAGTTGTAGGGCAATACTCATTTTGTAAACAGTTACATGCCCTGGTACTTTTCTTCAAAATGTTTAGTTTATGGCACTCTTTTGCCTTTAAATGGAATTACTGACCTGAGTGTATTAATCATTAGGAAGATTACACATTTCCATCCACATTCTACGATGTTTGGAAAGACAGAATTTACAAAGCCTACAAGGAACTCTATATCAGTGTAACCATAAAAACAGTTATACTTAGCTTGAACAACTAATATCACACAGCAACTAGATTTGGTCATGTATATTTGGAACATGAGTTTGTAATTTTCAATAACAAACCCTAACTAAATAGAGCTTTATTAAAGAATGCCAACAACAAACCTTAGTTGACAGGAAGAAAGCCTTTTATTTAATTCACTTCTATAGTGATATATGGTTTTCCATTTACACTAGCTCACTGCAATCTCCACAATAATCAAAGAATTAGATAGAGAAGATACTACCCATCTGTTAGAGATGAAATCACTCAAGGTTTGTGAGGTTAAGTTGCCTGAGGTCAGATACAGTAATGAGGCTGGGGCAGTACCCCAGATCTCCTGAAACAACACATACAAAGTTCCTACTGCAGTTCCTAACTCTCTATATGGACTGAATGAAAGATGCTGCCTTTTTTCTCCCAACTAACTCAGCATTCTTTCCACTTCAAGGCACTGCCCAATCCTGTAGCAGCAGATTTAAATAATACACAAAATAATTGTAGAAGAAACTGAAGTGGAGCCGAAATGAAGAAAACAAAATGAGCTCTTTAGTCATAATGTCTACCACAAATAAAAGCAATTCAGAGATTTTCAGTGCTAGAAATTACCTTTATCTTTACAATAACAAGTTTCAATTCTTAAAATGGAATGGTCTGCAAGTTAAAAAAAAACAACCTAGTAATCACAAAATAAGTAAAAATAACTCCTTAAGTAGTACAGGTTGAGCATCTCTAATCTGAAAACCTGAAGTATAAAGTACTCCAAAAGCCTCAACTTTTTAAGTGCCAACATGATGTCACGTGAGTGGCTGAGATAGTGACTCTTTTGTTTTCTGAGAGTTGAATGTACACAGCTTTGTTTCATGTGCAAAATTATTTAAAATATTGTATAAAATTACCTTCAGGCTATGTGTAAAAAGTATATATAAAATGCAAATGAATTTCATGTTTAGACTGGAGTCCCATCCTTAAGATATCTCTTTATGGATATGCAAATATTCTAAAATCCAAAACACTTTGTCTCAAGCATTTCAGATAAGTGATACTTAATCTGTACATCACTTAAGAAAATGTTTCCTGAGGAAACCATCACATGAAGGGATACATCTCTCTTAGCCAATGCAGCCATAAATAAAAATGTTAATGAGGTAAAATTGGTCATGATGAGGGTAAAATAATATTAAAAAACTGAAAATGTTCTTGTTAAGCTTAATTCATTTTGACAGATTTTGAAAAAAATCTCAAATGCATTGTAGTAAATCTTATTAATTAAACTAGAAATCCATTACAATTTATTGCTTCTATGTTTTAATTTGTACTTTTTATCCTTAAGGATAACTATGAATAAAACATGAAAATCAGTGCATTTTCTTTTTCTGCAATCATCTATGTCCTATTCTACATAATATCTCATCTGCCCTTATATTTTCTTTGTAATCTAGTAGATTATACTCAGGCTTGATGACCTTGGTAATAGGACTTTCCTTATAAAATATACTCACAAATCTGAAATTGGTCAATCAGCTGTCCAGGAGAAAAATTAAGTGAACCTAGTTTTGCAGCAATATGTTTAAGTTAAAGGTTCAAAATATACTTTGAGACACTTCAAAATGCCATAATTTTCCTTCTGGAAACCTTCTACTCTCTCAGTCTGACTTATTTATTCTCTGAAAGCTGACTGGTCCCTGCCAAGTGCATTTTGGTACTATGGATAATAAGCTATAATTCAGTGAAGGGCTTCTCTAGGTTATAGAAGGATTACGATCACTATATTTAACATCTAAATCATATACAAAAAAGTAAACAATAGCAAGACTACAATCCCTCACTCCTACAAAAATTCTTGAATTTTTATTCTTTAAGTGTATCTGTCTTGATAAGTGGTCTTCAGTGAAATGAGCTTTAGACTTGGTTTAGCTCTACAAACACAAAGACTTAAGACATTTTGTCATTAAGACATTCTGACTTTAAGACCTTCTATCTTGACATTCTGTCTTTTAAAAAAATTATCATTTTCATGCTATTATTTTACTCATTTCAAAGCACATCATATTTCAAAAACATAGAAATCAACAAATTTAAATTATGTGCATTCAGATGGGACTCACCTTTAGAGAATCAAAACAGGCCACCACACGACCATTTTCCACATGGCAAACTCTTGGTGGATGGGCAAACTTGCAATCTGCATCAGCTCGAAAGCAAGTTCCTCTCTGAAATTCTCTACAAACTTCTAAAGTCAGCCACTTGGTATCACGAATCAGGGCAACATTGACAGCCGTCATATTGAAAGCAAAATTAAAATCCAATGTACCCTCTTAAGTACAATATTATTGTCGACTGTTTAAGGATTAAAAATGAATTCAAACTAAGTGTGAAGAGATAACAGGTGATTTTGGTGAAACGTCTATTTGTTGGCACTTAGGTTTTCATTAAACTCAAATCTGGTCTAGTCAAACAAAAAGCCAATCATAAAAACTCTATCAGAATAACTAAAAATCAAATTAGAGACCAACTCCTAAGAAGCCAACTGTTTGTTCCTTTGCCGAATTTATGTGAAATAACCGGCAGACTTTCAAAAGAATTCTGTGCTCTGCAGTTGATGTTTTCAATTACTCTGGCAAAAAACATATGCTGCTGGCTGCCCTTCGATTTGTGGAATGGTCTCAGATCAGGAGGAGAAAAGTTTTTCTCCTTATTTATTAGCTATAAATAATAAGATTGGGAAGGATGTTAGAAACCCAAAAAAGTTTTGTTGCAAAATCAAGTGGAGGGAAAATAACTAGGAAAATTGAGAATCACAGAAAAAAGAAATGGACCAGCTGCTGACAGTAAACTACAAGCACACCAGGTTCGGCGGGGAGGTGGAGAGGGCAGGGAACGTTATGTTAGGGAGAGGGNTAGAATCCAAGCAGCAGAGTTTTCAGAAAAGGCACTTTTCAGAACCTGCAAGAAAAAAATAAATAAAATTAGCTAAAATAACACAATGCTTCCGTTTCAAACTCTAGATTTGGAAAAGAAGTAACTATATCCTATTTAAAACAGGAAGCATCTAGATACTGACAGTGCAACATAGTACAGTCAGCCGTTGTCAATAAAAAGGGCATTTCCCAGTATCAAACTGCATAGTAAAAGCAAGCACTGCTTAGATTCACTGTTGAAGTACAAGACTGGGCAACAATCTCACATAAGGTGGAGTGGAGGATGGAAATGTAAAATGTGCTTCAGAAAGATCTGCACATGTACCCCAGAACCTAAAGTACAATTATATATATATATATATGTAGGCGTATCATAATTATGTTGTATACATGGCATAGCTATGGAATACCATGCAGCTGTTAAAATGAAAGAAGCACATATATGCGTTCTGATGTGTAGACATCACCAAGATTTATCAAGTTCAAATAAATGCATATTGCATGTAATATATATGTGTTATGATTTATGGAAAAATCTATAAAACAATAATATATTTCCCTATGTGCATAAAGAGATGAATATCTGGAATAATTCATAGCAAGCTGACAATAATGGCTTACTCAGTAGGATTAAGGGTGAGTCAAAGGGCTCTTTATTTGTATAAGTTGTATTTTTTCCATAAAAATGTATTTAAGCATCTATTTGATAAGAACCAATAATAAGTGGAAATTATAAATAAATAAAACTGAGTGAATAAAAAAATTATTTGTAAAGATACTGGATTTTTTTTTCTGTGTAGCCTCCTTAGTCTTTATGAAGGGAAATTGGAACAACTCAGAAAAAGATTTCAGTATGTACAAACAAGTGAGACAGAATGTGCTGTTTAACGAAATAGATTAAATATTATGCAGCTTTATGGTTTGCAGTTTAACTCAGTGTGAACCAGCTACAATTTCTAGTGACAGCTGAGAAGATACAGAAAAGATTAATTTATTGGCATATGCCATAAACACATATTGAAATAGCACTAATTTGTAAAAGTGAGCTCTGAGTATTAGAAAAATCAACTGTTAGCTTTTTTGAAAAGTGAGATTAAAGCTCTTAAAAATATTTCATTTGATTTTTTTGGACAATATTTTCAACAACTTTACAAAATCTAAATTTTCTTTGTCTTTTCCATATTTAAGATGAAATTTAGTATCACCTGACTTTTCAAATATCACTGAGAAATTAAGTACCTAGAAAATTCAAATAAGCTTATCTACTCAAGAGCAAAACATGTTTTTCTCTGAGTCATTCTTCATGGAAATTGTTCTAAAATGTATTCATTCTATGTAACTTTGTCTTATTAAAAAATATTGAACATAATTTGGACTCTAATCAAAGACTTGGAACTGTTAATGTATTAGAAAGTATAATAGTTCTCCTCTTTCAGTGGCAGACTGTTAATTGTCACATCCACTGTCACTTCTCTGATTGTCACAATAAGAGAAAATTCACCACAGTGAATTTTCCATCTCTGTTCTGAAAAACCTAATAGCCAGTCATGAATGTTGAATAACAATTAGTTACCCACCGAATGAGGGGCCTATGGAACAAGATGCGGAGCTTTCTCACAGAAGTTCTAAGGCTGCTCTTACTTCTTTGGGGGCCCTTCTGTATCAAGTTACATGCAGGGCTATGTTCTAGAGGGTTAAAGTTGCAGGCAAATGACTTCTAGAAAAATGTATTTTTAAAATAACCTGATAGAGGAAATGCAGAACAAAATCACAATGTGATGACCACTTCACTCTCATTAATCTAACTATAACTTTGAAAGGCAGAAAAATTGGAGAAATTGGAACCCTCATACATTGTGGCTGGGAATATGAAACAGTGCAATTTCTGTGGCAAACTGTCGGACAGTCCCTCACTTCCATGACTCAGTATATACCCAAAGTATCTGAAAACAAGGGATAAAGAAATCCTCCTACAAATCCTTGTACATGAATGTTCATAGCAACACTATTCACTATAGCCAAAAAGTAGAAATAACGTAAGCATCATTAACAGATGATTGGATAAACAAAATATGATATATCCACACAATGGAATGTTATTTGGCCATAAATAAGAATGAAGTACTGATGCATGCTACCATAATTGAAAACATTATGTTAAGCGAAAGAAACCTGTCACAAAAGGCCACATATTGTATGATTCCATTTATATGAAAAGTTCAGAGTAGCCAAATCTACAGAGACAGAAGGTAGATTAGTGGTTGCCAGGGGTTGGGAAAAAGGGATAAGGGTGAATGACTGCTTAATGGGTACAGGGTCTCCTTTGGGGGGGTGATGAAAATGTTCTGGAATTAGATACTGGTGATGATTGCATGACTTTTGAAATATCATAACCCATTCACTGAATTGTACACTTTAAATAGATGAATTGGATGTATTGAATTACATCCCAATAAAGCTGTTATATATATTTTTTAAAGTCTAAAGAGACATGACAACCAAATACAGCCTGACTAGTGATGGGATTAGCTATCCCAAGCTTTCTGAATTTCTCCTTAGCCACAGATTTTTTCTTAGTAGTGTTACTAAGTCGAATTTCAAGAGTAAATTCATTTCCACACTGTAACTGACTTAATGTATTATGAAAACTACTCTGAAAGAGTATGATATTCCAACTTAATCCCACAACTAAATTATATAGTTTGCCGGAACACATTTGGAAGAAAAATGACTAAAAAGATCTATCTATATAAGATCTGCTCAAAACATAAACAGTGAGGGTCTGGAGAAAGATTTTTTTCTACAGAAGTCCATCAAGTATAGAAACATAATAAATAATACATGTGAATTCTGAAGTTTTACAAATGAAAAATGCAAACAAGAATTGGCTTCCAGACCTGCATTTTATGTAATATCAGAGATAGGGGAAGAAGGAATTTTCTTTTTTCTTTTTCTTTTTTAAAATTTTGGCCTGTAACCTTTGCTGAAGCTCTGGCCAATTCTTCAAAGCAGTTCTATCCACCACATGTCTTCCTTCAGACTGGAACTATTTTAGGGGCTGACTCAGAAGAAACTAAGTGCAACACTTAACAGAGCTGGTGCAAAAATGGGGAGAAGTTCTCTCATGCAGCTCTGTTTGTCTGACTATGTACACAAGACAGGGAGAAGTGCTGGTTTTCTCTGTATTCTTAAGATCAATTCTGTTTTGGGGATAATACAGCTTTATCTTCACTACTTTAGACTTAAGTAACAGGAATATAGTTCTGCTTCTTATGATTTATAGTCCTCTAAAGTGGAACATGAAAAGTTACCATTTCTTAGTGCATTTGTACTTTATTGTACTTGCAGTTTACAAGTGCGTGAGTAATAACCCAAAACACTGATGACTGAAATCAAGCTCATAGAGGTTAAATTACTTATTTGAAGTTACAAAGCCTAGTGGTAGAGCCATGTCTCCAGGCAAGATCTTCTGACTCCAAATCTCATGCATAGATTCTAGCCGAGAAATGTCATAGATAGCATTGCTTATCTCTCTTGGGAATCTTAAACAAGGGAAACCTGTCATTTCTGTAGAGTACTTATGGTTCATTCTCAGAATTACATTCATGCCTGATGTATCAACATTTTCATAATCTCCGTAAGTTGTACTCAACCAACATTTATCCAGCATCTACTGTGTGCCAAACATTGTTCTAGGTACTGAACAAGACTGATAAAGTCCTTCCTCTCGTGGAACATGCTATGCTCATTTAAATAAAGAAGTAACTTGATGTACAAGGAAGTAAAATAAGTATTAGAATTTATGAAGAGCTGGAAGTAAACACTAGGAATTCTGTCTTCAGCACAAACCTCTAACTCACCATGAATGATACACCAAGCACCATGACTTAAGAATACGCTTAAACACACACTCAAATACTGCTACATAGAAGTAAGTCATCAAGAGGAATATCTTAAAATTATACTATGACTTATTGCTCTCCAGATTCCTCTTAGAGAGGGCAACTACTGTTCTCATCTTACAGATGGGGAAATGAGGGTGGAGAAAGTTGAGTAATTTAACTTGCACAACTTCATGAAGCTAGCAGGTGATCAAGCCATGGTTCAAACTCAGGCAGCCTGACTCCAGAGTCCCTTCCCCCACTTAACCATGCCACAATACTGTGTGACTCTTACAGCATCTATTGTATTCTTTCTCATGCTTACTGGCTGGGACCCTTAACCTTCCTCTCTTATGAGATTTAAATGCCTTAAGAATAGAGATCACGTCTTCCTCTGCTTTGCTGGCTCTATCTTGTCATTGGGGGTTAGAGTAGCATTCCCCAGGATTTTTACTTTGAAAACTATAAAGATTAAATGGTAATTTAACATTAACCCTTCTGTTGTATGACACTAGAAAAGAGTTTTGTCAGTTGGGCATCCTCTAGGCTAGAGCTTTGGCGACCTGTTAGTTTTGAATCAATCAAACCTGTGAAGTTAAATATTTTCTCACAATTTTAGCCTTCAAATTGGGATGACAATACCTAAGATTCTTCACATACAGTGAATTCAATCTCCACAAAGAATGACCTATTCCGGTCCATGTGATAGCAACAAGATCTTATAAAAATATTAAATTTCCAGATGATCTCTGTTTATGTTCTTGGATAGTAGTTCTTCAAAACATCTTTGAAATGTTTTTGCTTAATAATAGGTGTGGTGAAACTGAACTGGTAGTGGGAGTAAGGGTGGGGGAGATTTCACTCTGATCCATAGGAAGAAACCATTCCTAAGTATTCTTCCACGAAAATAAAAGTTAATTTTGACATTTTTAGAATGATATAGTTTAAAGGTTTAATGGAAAAAGGAATAGGTGAATAAATAGGCGAAAGGATGACGCAGTTTCAGTTTAAAGGATTCTTTCTTCCCATCAAAGCCACTCATTTTCATTTCCTCAGAGGGCTTTTTACTTTCCCTTTGTTTTAAATTTTACTTTAAGTTCTAGGGTACATGTGCAGAGCATG